CATTTTCTGGATTGTCAAAAACGACGGGGGTACATTCTTACCCGTATTCACAAGGGCTCCTCACGAACATATCGCCGGCTTTGACCTTCTATCTCCAGATGACCGCGCGTTTGCTTTTGACTATGATCATAGTGGGAAGCTCGACCACGTGACCTTCTACCGGCCAGGAAAGGGCGCTTTCTGGATTGCCAAAAACAACGGGGGTGAATTCTCACCTGTTTACGTCCAAGGGCAGGGTGGCAACGGCATCGGTGGCTATAAACTTGCAAGGCTCGCAGACCGTGCGTTTGCTTTTGATTATGATCACAGTGGAAATCTCGACTACGTGGCCTTTTATCGGCCAGGAACTGGCACTTTCTGGGTCATAAAGGAGTTAGAAGGGCGAATTGTACCGTAGGGTTAGGGTTAGTCATTGCACAAAATCACAGCAGATGTAGAAAAATGAAATGTCTTTTTAAAGTGTATAATCAAACCCCCTCCTCTAATTCAACCCCTTTCTAGTTCCCGGAGTAACAGCATTATGGAGTAGAAGGCTATGCGAAAGAGCTCCTCTTGGTGCTCCCAATCGATCCCATTCACAGTATCCCAAGAGCAGAAGACCCTCTAGCAGACTCTGGTAAGAGACTGGCTCTCAACTTTGGGTATTCCTATTTAGTTTTTGTCAATTCAATACTGATTGTTCCAAGGCGCATATCCATCCGACCGTGTAGTCTTCGTGGGATAGAGGGGCCCTGGCTTCCATGGTGGATAACGTGATGATCGGATTCTTGACATGGAATGACTGGATTATTGATTCGTAGGGGGTATGGGAAAACAAGAATGCGGCGGAGCGTAGGTTAGTGGAATGAAAGTCAGAGTTTCGAGTAGGCGGGGTTGAGAGGGGAGGCTCGCAGAGATCGACTTCAGGCTCCATGAAAACCCACGGACTTTCCGCACGTGCATTGTAATCTTACATTGCCAGGTATTGTAATATACGGAATGCGCCCCAAATAAAACGTAGCCCACTCAATGAATGATCTGCGCTAGGGCCTTGGCGGTGGGGCCTGGGAAAAGAAATGCAATCACCAGAGCGGAAGCTGATTTCGCTGCTGACTGTACTTTGATTGGATGAATTAGTGCTGGCATAATAGGGGTGTTCAAACTTATGGACCGTCACTGTAACTCGTGGTATTGAAATTGTTACAGGAAAATTGATATTCCGCGACTGTCTTTAATTTGATCTAGCGTATCTTGGCAGTGGGGCAAGAGAATCACTCGAAGACTGTTGACAGTTGCACCAGTTTTGGGATGTACTGTAGCAGGCCTAGGGGTGTTGATTAGTCACCTCTCTCGGTGCCCTGGTTTTTCGTCTTGAGGTCTGGCTGAGGCACCGGCTGCCACTGCCGCCCATGATCTTCGGTTTTTAATTGGTGCGGGGCTTGTTAGGTAGGATTGGTACCACGGAAGTGTACTTAGAAGAATATCACATGGTACTTCATACGATAAAATCACTTGGAATACCTACCTAGGTACCATTAATACTCATCGTCTCATCCATGGATGGATGTTCCCCGGGGTTGAGTATCACTTCGTAACAACAGATGTCTGACGACTTTGTCTGCCATATTAGACCGAAATGCGTCATCATAATTTAAATCATTGCATTGTTAAATACCTAGCTCGATGGATTATAGCCATCGAAGGCACCTGTCTAAAAGACTAAAAGAACTAAAATTGTCCACTAACCATTTTTTGTTTCCCCTCGAAAATTGTTCTCCCCTTCCGAAAATCACCGTATACTATATCGCGCTTTATCATGTCAAGTCAGAGTAAGTCCTTACAATAACCATCTGCTCTAGCCCTACTAAAGAACAATCAGGTTATAGTTGGGCTTATGGTCCTCTTAAAGTACATTCCTTCCTCGGCGAATGCTACATGTATCTTTGCTAATTCTTTGTAGATTAAGGGTGAAATTAACTCTAAGTCGGCTGAAATTTCAGCTGAATATTCTATTGTCGAAAACACCTATAAAGACAAGATTGTTGGAGAAAAGTCTACCTCGCTTCTTAGTGGTGAGCCATTCGTTTACTCCGGGGAGGCAGGAACATTCATATCCACCTTTTCTCTACAAGGAACAGCAATTATATCCCATGTTGAAGGAGATATCTATGATACAGCCCTGGCTAGTATTGAGAAAATTGGCAATGTTTGACTTGGACCATTTTGATAACGTCACATGATATACATGTCTTGTCGCGGCTTGCCGGAATATATATAACAGATTTCAGTCTACATTACCATTGGAGTTGGCTTCTGATGCTTTATACTGATAGCCTCCATTAACAAGAGCAGGAGTAGATCCACCAGTGATGTTTCCTTCCATATACCAGTGATGCAGCAGCCACTGCACGTAGTGGAAGGAAATCCCATGGCATTAATGGCGTTGGCAGTGGATGCGGCAGCAGCGAGAACGTACAAGCCCAGTCGAAAAATCATCTTGAAGTCTGGAAATATTGTGCAACTAATATTTGGATTGTGTTTGATATCCTGAAATGGACTTGCTTGGGCTTGGCACGATTGCTATATAGTTAAGACTCTAAGTTCTCTTTTCATAAGATACTTCCGCTTTTTCTCTTTTAAAAGCTATTATTATTGAAATCCTTACTTTATCAATTAATAGTTTTCTCATTAAATAAAACAAGAATAGTCGGCCGCGTTTGCGGCCTTGTCATATCTTTTTAGTTAATCTTTTTGGTTGTCTTTTTGGTTGTCTTTGTTTTGTATATATTTTGCTGCTCATCTCAGTTGTATAGATAAACGGTAGAAAAAGACGGAGAGAGGCTTAATTTGTGAAATGGACTTTTCTATGTATAACTTTGGATAATCAGGCTGAGTGTTGATTTGTGGGGCCGAAACTTCGCTACGGTTCTTGCTGTCTATTTGTGTATTATTGCCCACCCCCTCTGTTGGAGCGCGGGGCACGGCCCTCCTCTAAGCGGCTCACTAAGCCATTCATAACTAAGCTCATGCCCATGCCCAGGTGCTCAGGACTGTCCGTTACCTACTATCGTGCTGTCATAGTATCCTTAGTTTCCTCGCAGGAAACCCCCAAAGACCAGGACGACTTAAAACTAAAGGAAACTACCGCACTACCTACGATGTCCGAACAAAAAATCCTCGACCAACGCTCGGCTATGATACACTCTGAAGCAGCTCAAGGCTATAGAGACGACGGGGTTCCTCACGACTCGGACGACGAGCCCATGATCTACGAGATTCCCATGGACTACGCAGCTTTTTCACGCCAGGAGCGCGACCGCCTTATCGCCGAGGGCGCGGATCCTAATTCTGTCATCCTCCAAAGCGAACTACACAATCATATCATACGGCGAGAAGGCGAGTCTATTGACGACTATGCGAAGCGTTACTCCGATACTATGAACGCCATGATTCGTCGCGGCGTTTCTATTCTGAATGATCTGCTTATTGCTGATGTGGTGCCATCCGAATTCGGAACCGAAGATGGGAGGTTTTTCGATTTGGGCCCGGAATCGGGCGCGACGAAGAGGGAGTATCGAGAATTTAGTCAGTGGATCTCGGAGGTATCGGTAGCAGGACAGACGTATGAGGTGCCGGAGAAGTGGTTGAAGTTTGAGAAGCCAGCGGGGGATTTGAATTATGACAGCGGGGATAGGCCATGATCATATTTCCTCCGGCTTAAGATCAACCCATCATGGGGTGCCGAAGGTAGTCTAGTATACAAATGTCTATCAACTCGCCGTATCAATGCAAATGGTGATGCAGTTCTAACTCCAGTCACTCTCTAAAATGGTCGGGATCAAGGTGAAACGGGACCGGTCGAGCGAAAGTAGCGCAGATTGCGCTCAAGGGAGTATAGACTTGACGAGTCGCACTAGGGACAACGAGAGTGGCGGAGCTCGGTGATTCGGATAAATAGCAGAAATGCCTCGCCTATAGAGCACGCACGAGGCTGAGGAAAAAAGAAAATCGGGCGGGCAATATATAGCGAGAAGTCGAGGGGGTGATAGCAAGGATTATATAGAACCACGCATAGGAATAAACGTACGAGGACAAAAACCAAAACCTTTACTAGTTCTAATAGCATAATTCCTCAGAATAATATTATAACAGTCCGATATGGTGTAAAAGGAGGCGACGGTGGAATGACTATGGTTTGGCAGAATCTCAACCCGAAAACTGGTGGTCTTCTACCTAGAAATTTTAGCTAATTAGACATTGCTTAAGCGTCGACTATACCTGGTTTATTTTGGTGAGTGGATACTAGCAAAAATATCGAGTAAATTCAATGAGCTGGTCCTAAGATAATAAACGGGAAGGTTGATGTTGGTCAGCACTTGTAGCCGCCACACCAAGACATCCCGTGATCTAGACCCAGCGATCTTTCACATGAAGCTAAAGCTTCACCTACCTTGGGCCTAAAGAGTCTATTGACGTCATTTACCACCAAAATATGAGTTATTTGTCAGAGTCGCGTGAGCAAAGATTATGTTCGAGTAGGAGAAGGTGAGAGGGCGACCTCGGGAGAGTGCTAAAGACCTCGCCCCGTGTTGGGACTTATGAGTTTCCTTTATCTTGATCACTTCTCCTGACTGTTAATCTCGCCTTTTTTTTTTTCCTTCTGGCTATCCCACCACCCACCATAACCCTGTCCATCATGGCCACTGTAGCGTCCACTACTGCAGCAAGGTCATCCGAGCGAATGTACATCAATCGCTCGGATGGTTGGCTAGGTGAACTTACTAAGCGATCACTAGATGACCACGATGAAGTGCAATTTTTCCAGGATGGATTAAACACTGGCGCTCGTATTCTAGGTAAATGATGTTCGGGTGATGTTCACTCGCCATACGCTAACGTGGATCACATCTTGTCATAGGTGACGGCCGGGTAGATATCAATATTGATCAGCACAAACCGCACCTTTCAGGGCTATTAAACCACATCCAGCACCCGGATATACATTCTACCCGAGAGGCCGAACGCACCGCCAGTGCAGAACGACCTTACTTGAAGGATGAGCATTTTCCGCTGCACTTAAACCTCGTCATCCAAGTTATTGGTTCCCGAGGCGACATTCAACCGTTTGTTGCACTAGGGAGAGAACTGAAAGCACACGGTCACCGAGTCAGATTGGCCACACATTTAACTTTTCGCCAATTCGTTCTCGATAGCGGTCTGGAGTTTTTCAATATCGGAGGGGACCCAGAGGAGCTGATGGCTTACATGGTCAAAAATCCGGGCCTTTTACCGGGGTTGAAGGCAATACGCAGCGGAGATATCCAGAGGCGTCGGCGTGAGATGAGGGAGATATTTAATGGATGTTGGAAATCTTGCTTTGAAAAAGGTGACGGGACCTACATTCACCAAATTAAGGAAGATCCATGGAGTGAGACTTTGGATTATCGACGACGGCCCTTTGTGGCGGATGCTATTATAGCCAATCCTCCTAGCCTGGCCCATATTCATTGCGCGCAACGACTGGGCATCCCTCTCCATATTATATTCACGTGAGTAGACCCTCTTATAAACTAATATCTGGTCGCATTTCGCATACTGAACACCACATGAATAATAGAATGCCCTGGTCACCAACCCAGTCTTTTCCCCACCCATTAGCGAATGTTCACCCCCGGAACTGCAAGCCGACTATTGCAAATTTCATGTCCTATAATGTTGTCGACATGATGGTATGGGAAGGCTTAGGAGATATTCTAAACACGTTTCGCAAAAATACCTTGTCGCTCCAACCTCTGGATACAATGACTGCCCCCAACATACTAAACCGACTACATGTGCCTCATACGTATCTATGGTTAGAAATTTGTTTCTGGTCTGCAGAACTGTTCTAATATGTGAAACAGGTCACCTTCATTACTACCTAAGCCCTCTGATTGGGCTGATAATATCGATGTATGCGGCTTTAGCTTCCTCCTATCTGAGACCAACTACACACCACCAAACGAAATAACCACATTTCTCAGCGCAGGACCAAAGCCAATATATATTGGATTTGGGTCCATCGTAGTTGACAATGCTGTCGAATTGACGAAAATTATATTTGAAGCTGTCAAAAAGACCGGACAGCGGGCTCTTGTCTCAAAAGGCTGGGGAAATCTGGGGGCAGACGAAGTGCCGGACAATATCCTTATGATTGGAAACTGCCCTCACGATTGGCTATTTCGGCAGGTTTCATGTGTGATCCACCACGGTGGTGCTGGCACCACAGCGGCAGGCCTCGCGCTAGGTCTGCCGACGATAATTGTCCCTTTTTTTGGAGACCAGCAATTTTGGGGAAATATCGTCGCGCGGGCTGGAGCTGGGCCACCACCCATACCACATAAACGTCTGAACCTGCAGAACCTCTCAGATGCAATACAGAAAGCACTAGACACAAGTACTCTAGAGAGGGCGCAGGCAATCGCGAGGAAAATGCAGGAAGAGTCCGGCGTGCGCCATGGGGTGGATAGCTTTTATCGAAATCTTGACACCCAGTCATTCAGGTGCTCTCTAATCCCGAACCAGCCGGCGGCTTGGCATCTCAAACATACTAAAGTCAACTTGAGTGCCTTTGCAGCAACGGTTCTAGTGAAATTAGGGAAGATTAGTCCGGATTCACTCGTGCTGTAAGTTTTCTCAAACACAGGTCACCGCAATTGCGAGAGTTTCTTGCTGATTTGCCTCCAGTCACCGTGCAATGGAATATGATACATTCCTGGACCCTCCCGACCCACTTACTGCTAGTGCTCAGTTTTTCTTTGGGTTCATTACGAGCTTCGTGACTGGGCTTGTAGATGCGCCAAGAGAGATTGTGCATGATCTTGTTTCTACTGCTCGTGGAATGCACCAACCCCATGAACATTTTGATCGCCGCGCAGCATGTCAAGCAGCAATCTCTTCGCCGGTTCAGTCATCCCCAGAGAATAGTAATGAGAGCGAGGAAATACAAATCCAAAATGAGGGCGGGCAATTTCAGATTGAGAATGATGAACCGGGAAATAGAGAAATCCGAGAAGAGGAGAGTACACAGGAAGATACTACCGATGAGGACAATGAAAATGATGTCAACGAGATCACTCGAACTCGGAGCCTAGAGCGGAAAAGGAATCTTCAGCTCGAAAAGTCCAAGACAATGAGCAGCTCGATGACACCCTCAAAACCACCTAAATTCACTATTCTACACGAAGTTGCGATACACGGAAGTCAAATGTCGAAGAAAGTGTTGAAGGTAATCATATGGTTACCAACCGATTTGTCACTAGGCATGGCCAGAGGTTTCCACAACGCGCCCAAATTATATCACGACACAACAGTAAACGACGTCCCCCAGGTAGTCAGTCTTCGAAGCGGGTTCAAGGCGGCAGGAAAGGTATTAACAGCCATACCAGCGCCAGTTTGGGGCCAAACGTTCTGACATATGCACAGGAGCTCAAAGATGGATTCCACTTCGGTCTCACAGGCCTAGGAACACACCCTCGTGATGGTCTCAAGCATGGAGGTACTAAGGGGCTCCTCAAGGGGGTCGGAAAAGCGGTTGGTGGGGTGTTTCTCAAGCCGACAGCAGGTATGTAGAATATGCTGGGCATGTTTTAGTGATCTTTTTGTTTACAATCTAATCTTAATTAGGAATATGTGGTCTAGCAGGATATCCCTTGAGCGGAATACTCAGAGAGATCAACGACTCACTAGGCAGACATCAAAAATGCATGATTGTAATGGGTCGCATTTCGCAGGGACTTGAAGAGATGCGAGAGTCTACGCCCCACCAAAGGGAAGTGGTATCCGAGGGGTGGATTGCAATTGAACATGACTTGAGAAAGTCGAATAAAAGATACAGCCGTTTGCACATGTTGGACCCCGCCCAAGTTGTTATTAGTTGAGTGAGGTTTGAGGGGCTCTTGTGGCCTTAAATAAGAAGTGTCAACAGCCTATATATCGCTCTATAAATTGCTCTGTATAAATATTATGATCAGTTATCAAACATCATGAACACGTCTCTTTTCTGTTGTTTGGCCTTGTGGATTTAGTCCAAGCCCAAGTTGACCTGCGGCTCTATATAGAATAAATGGAGAGTAGACCCAATTGATCCCAAGTAAGGATTCCTGCGTCACTAGGTACTGACAAGAATGAATTTTAGTCTGACCTGACAGGCGCATGGCCCGACCCACATAAAATTACCGGGCAAATTTTATCATTGTCTTTGAGAATAGCTCCATTGGAATGTAAGGTTACTAATGGGCCTTTGATATGCGTGCGCTGATCGACATTGATCATCATTTTGCGCCATATAAAAGAGTACACACCTCCCTGAAACCTACATACAACCACGCACGGCCACGCACAGGAACCGGTGGCGCTAAACCGGAAGGGTCAAATAATGGGTAGCAGTTTGTTACTGACTCATGTAGCCAATAATATGCTTTTTCTACAACAACATCCGATATGGTGTGATCCAGGGGGACAGCGGAAATACCATGGTTATGCGTAGTGCTATGAACAACAATCGTGGTCTTTCCGTATAGTCACGGGGGGTTTTATAGATACATAAATCTGATCATCTAATCAGACGTAGTGTCATGGGTATAACTATCTATTTGGGTTTAGCGCGAGACTGTCTCGACCCTTCTTCCTATATAAGAGTAGTGCCAGTCAAGCCTCCACTAACAAAAGACAGAAGATACGGGTAACGGAGCGGCATAGCTATACCAGGAAGGCAGTAATGGAGAGTGTCAAAACACTTCGTAAGTCACTACGCATTGGAACCTTGAGATGTGTTAAACACCCTTCTACTTCCGCCTTCTTAAATTAATATACCGCCTATTATCTCTTAGCTTTTTATTGGTAGATATTTAACAGGCAGAATTTGGGGTGTTAACACTTTTGCGTAGTGACTTACTATGTGTTTTGGGGGTGGTCAGCTCGCTTACCGATTACGTTATACGTATGTAACCAGTTAGTCATACCTGCCGCAAATTTCCCTTTCCCTCCCCTCACGACTCCATCTCATTCCCTCACGACTCCATCTCATTCCCTCACGTCTCCATCTCATTCTCGATCGGCGATATGAGTGACATTGTCGATTTTGTTTCTCCAAATGCCCCAGACCTGCCTAGTAAAGAGCAAGTTAGATTGCTTTGTACTAAACAAGGTCGGAGGGACAACCATTTTATCCACGTCTATAATGGTAAAAAGTTATTTATCAAATATGAGGTCCCTTACTGCGAATGGAAAAATCAACAATTTTTATTTGATCGGATCAGGGCAAGCGCCGCTATTCGAATTCCTGAAATTTATACTGTATTCGGTATATCAGATAGACTATATCTGATTATGGAATTTATTCAAACCGAGTATATTGCGTCCGATATACAGAGAGCAAGAGCTATTTCTGATCTTGTTTCTATTGAGGCCCCCCTCAATATAACACCGGGTCCTGTCGGCGGGGGGTATATCCATATGAGAATCTTTTGGGATAATCAGATATCGGATATTACCTACCCTTCTATCCAAGACCTAGAGGATCATCTTAATCGTGTTTGTATCCCTAAGCTTTTAAGACTAAATAGTTTTAGAACTAATATTATTTTAGGTTTTAAAGGTCTTTAAACTACCTAACCAAGAGGTAGACTATATTGATTTCAGCCACGAGAGAATGATCTGCTGTTATACAGATCTTAAAAAAGCACATTTTCTAGTTGATACAGACGGCCAGCTCTGGGTTTCTGCGTTTCGTCAAGTCAATTTTCTTCCTGAGACTTTTATGTACTTTGCTTTAGGCAAGCAATTAGGGGGAGACCCACTCCCCCCTGAGTACTATAGTATGATTCCAATCATACCTACTCAAAACCTAAAGGGGCTTTCTATAGTAAGGCGATGGTTTCTACATGGTAGCAGTCGGTATTGTAGGTAGAACCCTCCCTTTCTATTCAGAGGATTATCTTACTAACAAGTTTTTCCTAATAGATATCAGAGATTTGGATATTTCAAATGTTGGCTAGGCATAATCACTTATGGGAAACGAGCATCTGTTGGATATCAGATGATCTAAGGTGACAGACCTTTTCCCTTAGATAGCTTCTCTTCGTCTCTTTCTCCCTTGTCTCTTCTTTCCCCCAGTTTCGTCAGACAAATGCCAGATAATCAGTCGGAGTATCTATCATTCTTTCTCTCTTATACAATTGTCTGCTTCCAAAGCACCCAGTTCAGTGAAAGGACCCTTGCTCGGACTTTCAATCCTTATTTCTATATCTAGCGAAAGTTGTGAATAGAATGAAAATCAAATCGTAAATTCAGCTTTCAGAGCTCGACAGAGTCAGACTGTAGTATTTCGATACCTACGCACTTGCACTAAGTCCTCAGTGATAGATCACATCAGTCAGAACAATATAGGAGTAAGTATCCGGAAAATCACCGCGCAAAACAGGATTGAACCATGTCATACCCTCTTTGCCATAACGCATATTGAAATGCCGATAAAAAGCCGCACTATCTTCTTCTCTTGAAAAGGTGATAACCTCAGTATCTTCCAAACGACGGAGGAATTGCGACCTAATATTTAAGTTAGCATGCCACGGTAAATAGTCGGTTCGAAGGAATTGCGACTCACATAAAGTCCCTACAGCCCATATATCCGTTCCCATCAAATACGAATGTAAATGGTAGGATTTTAGACAAATTGATAGGTTTCAGAAAGTCTTTGACTGTCTTACCCGGGGCAATTGGTACGTCGATCGATTTCAGGGCTCTTTGGTGAGGTCCTTGGTAACCGAGTGTTTTAACAACCAATTTACTGCCCATATTACTGGAATCGGGGATGTTGCCGTGAATATCAATACTGATCAAGATACCGGTTGTGGAAGGAGGCGCATATGGTGTAGCTTTCATGACAGTATGCTTGAACGCGAGTCTGAGGGCGACATGGTTCTTCTTCTTATCGTCGGTCCCATTGACAGTCTCGCCTTCATTCAAAAACTCAAGCGTACAGGCCGAAACTTGTTTTCTCAATAATGGCAAGGGTATTTTGTCGTGCTCGTAAGATTGGGATTGTGTCACTACTGACGGTCCAGCCGTGAGTAGCTCGAAAGTGGACCCCGAGCGATGGATTCGAGTATTGGCCATCTATTCTTATTAGTATGAGTCGTTATCTTGACTGAGAAAACTAATATAAAAGCTGCTTAGCTTGCTTTTGTATTCTGCAGTTACCTAGCAGAAAATAACTTCGTTTCGAAAGGATACAACACTGTCTTATACGAAAAAAAGTAGCTAAATGCAATTTAATTGGAGAGCTATTAGATTCGAGCTTTTCTATCGGATTGAATGTCAATTGATGAATGCATCTTAGAGTCAATCAATTATTGATTTATTGATTTATTCATTCATTTATTTATTTATTTATTCATCTATGCATTCTTTTAATGCAAACTCCGTTAGCCTACTGTAGTTGTATCAGACACAGAGAATTATATAGTCTGAATGACTTCTAAGGTCTGATGTTGGCGAACTTAGATACCTTGCTTACTATGGAGCCCGTTATAGTAATTTAAGTGTTTTAGTTTTCTGCCACTAGTACGACATACTGCTTAAGGGTAAGAAACCACGAATATATAGGGCGATAAGGAAGGTTTGATAGAACTACGTAAAGAGACGTATAAGGACAAAGAGCGCTAAACCAAAATTAATAGGATTAAACCTAACGGAGAAATTCTCTATCTATATCCGATATGGTGTAGTGGCTAACATCGCCGTCTCTCACACGGCAGCCGGGGGTTCGATTCCCCCTATCGGAGTTCCTTTTTTGTCTTTTCTTTTATGGTCTATATTCTAGTTACCACTCACTCTATTCCTTTTCGAGTGGGTTGATGCTGCTGTTTTGCCACAGAGATCAAGCTAAGATGGCACAGAGCGCTGGCATGAAAATTGATATTACGAGCGCCACAACGTCAAACAAATTTCGGGTCACACCATATCCGACGGTCTTGTCTAGTCTACAATAAACCTGCCATAGCATCCACTCAGAGTGATATATCATTGTATTCCAAGTAGCATCGGGGCGAATGTTTTGAATAAATCCGTAGATTATAGATCGGTGACTTAAGCTGCAGCAGAACGGAGGGTTGCTTTCAAGGTTAGCGTTGCGGTGTGAGGAAAATAGTTAATACAAAGGTGAGACTTGTAGGAACCATCTAGGCAATAACTTTCACTCGAGGTTCATTAGATGAAAATTGCGGGGCCGGAATTGCCGGGAAATGAATGTGAAGTAATAGTATCGGGGGGATAGAGCCAAATAAATGAGCCCCTGTGGTTCCGAGTCCTACGTTACAGATCATGGAGGTGAATACATATTTTCATTGGATAGCTCATGGGTGTGCAACTCCCAACGTAGCAGCTCTGATCTGCCTGGCAACAACATCAAACGACAACCCAGAACACCGGTTACTTTAAAAGGATGACCGAGAGACTTGCCACTGCCTAAACCCTGGGATTAAAACTTAAAAAAAACAGGGATATTCGTTTCTTCGGCTTAAATCTGACATCGGGATCAACCGTGGATAATCACCATGTTGACTACGACCGTGAAGAATGCAGAATACTGTGCAGAAATTTACTTCATACATACGAGATATATCTGAATAACGACAAAAAAGCCATGGAAGTGCGTTTTTCTCTAACCAGGAAACGCCCGCTTCGTCAACAGATCCGATTCCCTACGTCGAGCAATAGCTTGTTATATAAAGCCACTACGACGCGGACTATTTCTATCTTCACTCAATCTTTTATCTCATTGATCTAAATAGCAAAATCTTCCTAAGAGTTCATATATTTGACCCATTATCTAAACAACCATGAAGACTTTTCTGACAATCTCCAGCGTTTTGGCTTTCGCCGGCCTTTCAATTTGCCAGAATACATGCACTGCAGATGATGTTCTCAACTCACTAAATGCAGTCGAGTATTATGCAGATAAGATGCAGTCCGTGACCGATGCTTCAAGTGATAACATTGATCCCTCTGCGGTAAGTATAGATTCATATCGTCTATATAAGGACCCTAGCAAACTAATTACGCCTCTAATCCAGCCCATCTTCAAAAATTTCGAAAGCCAAACCAAGCATTTCAATGAGGATTTGCAGTGCACTTTCAATACGACTCAAGCGGAGCAGACCGCTATTTGCAGTGCCTATGAAACAGTTAGTTGAATTCCAACCTTCTGTGTGGACTATATCCCCTAATATAACTTCCCTTTCTACAAATTCAGTTCGCTACCTCACAGCTGAGTTACCTGCATGTGGCTGATGGACGCGCTTCCTACGAGAAGAATGGACACGGTGATAATGCTGTTAAGATGCATGGCTATATCTTACAGTCGCAGCACGCTTTGGAGGTAATTTATAATTTCATGATTATTGGTTAAGTTCTAACATGCAATATAGAACTACACAACTCAAGTCAAAGCAGCAGCTGCATCGTGCGTGGATCGCATTGATACAGTTTATACACCGCTGGGTACACAGCTTCAAAAATTACAACAGGCTTACCCCGGGACGGCTTAGTAGAAGAGAAAAGCTGTCATACCTAGGGTAAACGCTGTGATATGTAGCCTAAAGGGGAAAGAACCGAAATCCGATTTTTGATGAATTGCTGTTTCAGAATGTCTTCGCTAGTTCCAGGTGTTGAGGTTTCTGCCAACCTGGTCATACTTTTTGGAGGAATAGTTTTGCAAAGCTAGCAACATCAATTTGAAGTTTTTATTTAACCATGGCCACACTGTCAACGCAGCATCCCGGAAATTGAGTGTAGTCAAATGCAGATTCATACTCCGTAACTCCCGATTATAGTCCAAGACGACGCCCAACGTCACCGTAAAGAGAAACAGTAAATATATTTAGAGTATGTTGATAAGTAGTCATAAGACAGGAGGTATCATAAGGAAACAAAGAAAAGCAAGCCTAAAAAAACAACCACTGCCCAAACCGTTGAGCTTTACCCCAAACACCCGTCTTCTTCTCCGTAACCAGACCCTCGGGCCCATCTTCCTGAGAAGGATCATATCGATCTGTCCTCAAATCCATATTAGACTTCCTAACAAAGCTAGTTCTCTTGACCAGTTTCCAAGCCAAGAACATGAAAATCATGACCGGAATCTCAATATAATAGGAGACAAAGTCGACCCTCTTGAAATGCGGGCTGAAGCACTTCCATCCCTGAACCAGCACCAGAACAATATTAAGCCCAACAGCAAAGATCGGACCATACGGATAAGTCCAATTCTTAAAAGGAAGGAGATGCTCAATACCCTGAGCCCGGATCGCCGAGCGGAACCGCAAAGAAGCAAGACCGATACAAATCCAAGAAAGCTGGTTCGAGACGCCGACAATGTTCTGCAGCCAGGACCATAGTTTTCCAGCGCCGATATAGCTAGCACCGAAGCAGAGGCCGCTGATCACGGATGTCGCCAGGACAGCCACCCACGGAACCTGGAAGCGGTTAAGGTGACCGAAGAATTTGGGCGCATACCCATCGACAGCAAGAGTATATAGCAGCCGAGATCCGGCGAAGAGGGCATGGTTCGCAGCTGAAATGACGGAAGTCATGATGACGGCGTTGATGAAACTGCCAGCAACCGCGGAACCGGCTTGCTGGAAAACAATTGTGAAGGGACTGGTCTTTGTGTCACCATCTGAGAGACCGGGGTAGTCATATGGTACATTCAGGCCGACGATGAGGATTGAGAGGAGGTAGAAGAGAAGAATACGCCAGAAGACGTTGCGGACAACTTTTGGCATTGTTTTCGCGGGGCTTTTGGTTTCACCGGCTGTGATGGCAATAGATTCGGTGCCACCGCTGTTTCATTATTAGAATGGAGCTCATTTAACAGAAGAAATGGTGAGATGGGTGTACATACTATGCGAAGGAGGCTGTGACGAATACTGATGCAAAGCCGCCGATTCCACCAACGAAGGGTGCATCGCCTTTATGCCAATTTCTGCCGCCGATATACTCATGGTCTGTATTTCCACCACAGTTCACGGCAATGCCGAGGATAATGAAGATCTAGAAAGCGAATTAGCTGGGTGTGCGGGAGTTTTATAAGAGATAGTACTCACAACAATGGTGATGACTTTGAGTAAACTCAACCAGTATTCAACCTACATAGGAACAGTCAGATCAGATAAAATATAGGGGAAGTTATTTACACATACCTCGCCATAGACTTTCACGGATAAGACGTTCAATGCAATGACAACAACCAAGAAGATTAGACTGATTGCCCAACCTGGGAAATTATCTGTCCAATACTGCAACAAAAGCTGCAAAGCAATGATATCCGATGCAGTAGAGACGGCATCATTAAACCAATAATTCCAAGTTAATGCGAATCCAAGTGCATCATCCACGAAGCGACTACAAACAAGTCAGTAATGATCCGCCTCATAAGAAAAGGAAGTACCACCCACCCAGCATAAGTACAGAAAGATCCAGCGACAGGCATAAACGCCGCCATCTCACCAAGACAGAGCATGGTTATAAAAACAATACCGCCACAGATAGCGTATGCAATAAGCGTTGAAGCAGGCCCACCCTTAGCGAGTGACGAGCCCGTGCCGAGAAACAAACCGGTGCCGATAGTACCGCCAATAGCGATCATCTGCACCTGGCGTCCAGACAAGCGGCGAGCCAGCTTGTCTGCATTGACAAATGGGTTTGTTTGGACATCATCGGCTGTTGTGCCTGGAGCCTTGGAGGACTCTGCTCCCGGCTGTTTCTCAATATCAGCCATAATGTGGAGATGGATATGAATACGGGAGTATCCACTAAATTTGTGTGTTAGTACATATAGTCTATCATGAATCTATCATGGATGCATATAAAAACAAGGTTGAATCATGCAATATCATCACTTACCTGTCCGAGTTGGTATGTACTAAGATGTCTCAACCCTAAGTCGCGTGACCCACACTTGGCAACTTTCCTTGGACCAAATTATATTTGATACATTGACGAACGATTGAAATAAAGATACAACATAAACACAGAAGGGAAAAAAAAGCGCAACTGAAGACTTTTATCCATCGATGGCGTGATTGAAGCCATCGATGAGTGGACGGGGCTCAACCGTGCGAATGCGACGTTGATGTGTCAAGGAAATGCTCGGCTCCACATGCCAATTTGAGGAGTCTTGGGCATTTTATACTCGGTGCTAGTAGGTTTAGTAGGTTTAGTAGGTTAGACGCACATTGGTACATTAAGGGTCTTTTAGAGCTTATTTAGACATCTATGTTATATCCATATAAAATGCTATATGCTATACATGTCTGAAAATTATCGCTTTCATATTCACTATGCTTTTAAACCTCGCCAGGAAAGAGATTTTTTAGTTGGAAAATATACGCCATAAAAGACCTCACAAACCCATGAAACAATCCATGAAATGTACATTAACCAAGCAACCCACTGGCCAAAGCCTCCAGATCTCCCAGAGTTTCGATAGGCCTGGCAGAAGCCTGGCTCTTCTTGCTCTTGGGTTTGTCGTCGTCGCTGTCCGGCTCGGCGAAAGATACACGCTGTTTCTTGCTGGGCCGGGGCTCGTCGCGCTCGGAAGCAGAGTCTGAATCGGAGCCGGGGATCTCGAAAGGTACATGGGGAAGGTGCGAGAGACCGCCTTCCTCCTCCGACATCTCGGCCTCGGCCTCGGCACGCTCGCGCGCCTTGCGCTTCTCCTTCTTCTCGCGTCGCTTCTCGCGCATAACCTCCTTGTCCTCGATATCGGCCTGGCGCGTGCGCTCCGTCTCGCCCTCGAGGAACTTCTCGCGCTGGGTGTTGGCATCGCCGCGGGCCTTGAACATATCTTCGTCTTCCATTTCGTACACCTCGTGGGCATTGCCCTCGTCGTCGTAGACCAATTTCGTACCCTTGCCCTTGAACTTGAGGAGCTTCTTCTTCGACTTGAGTAGCTTCTCGCGTCGCTTCGAGTCGATGAGAAGGGGGTCCTGGCCGTCCAAGTGCACCATCTTGACGCCCTTGGCGTCTTTGGTTTTTGGCTCCGCATCGGAATCCTCCGAGTCGGAAGAATCGCTCTTTCCTCCGAGTTCTGCGTCGCCAGCGGCGAACCGGCGCTTGACTGAGAGGAAGTCGGCATCCTCGTCGGCTTCGTCGTCGATCTCTGCACCGGCGTCCTTGGGGGCGTCGGTAGCCACCATCGTACCATCGTCGTTGATAAGCTTCGAGTAGTGCTCCGCCAGCACGCCCTGGTTGCGTCGCTCAAACATACGGTCGTACCGTGTGCGCACCTCCTTCTCATCCTTCTTCTTCTCAACCTCTGAGTCGTCATCACCAGACATCTGTGCCATTCTCCAGGATTCGTTCTTGCGCTCCTTCGCATCGTCACCCTTGATGAACTTAATACGTGGAGCACCGGGAAGACCCAGACTGGCTGCATACTCTTCCAACGGAAGCTCCTTGATCTTAAAGGTCTCCTTGTCCTTTTGCACGTAAATCGACTTGACGTAGGAGATGAAAGCTTTCTGGCCCAGATACTTCAACTCTGGGTCCTTGAAACACATGTTTTGCAACTGGTTCTTGACACTCTGTTGCTTGTTCGATTTGATGTTGATCTTCTCAATGGGTACTTTCTTGTGTTCAAGCTGCTTGAGGAATCCCTTCTCTTCGCTAGGGTCTAGGAAGAGTACCGCACGACCAACACGCTCGTAACGGGCCGTCCGTCCGACACGGTGAATGTAGGTATCAGCATCTTCGGGACAGTCCATTTGGATAACCCAATCGACAGCAGGGAAATCCAGACCACGAGCAACAACATCAGTAGCGAAAAGAACAGCGTGCTGAGCCTGAGAGAACTTTGTGGTGATATCCAATCGTCCTCCCTGTTTCTGCCGCCCGTGCAAGTGGAGCAAGGAAATACCAGGCTGCAATTGTCGTAGTGATTCGTATACATAGCGAACTTGCTTGCCCGATGACAAGAAGACCACTGTCTTAGATTTGAGGTTGCTGCGAATGAAACTCCAAAGGGTATCAAGCTTCTGTGGGAGTGGAGTAACGGTGTAGTGTTGTTGGAGAGTTGAGGGAGTGGCGGAGGCGGCTGCTTCATGGACCGAAACATACTCGGGTTCCTGCAGACTCAAACGAGCTAAATCACCGACCTTCTTGGTCTGTGTGGCACTGAACAGCATAGTCTGGCGCTGTTTGGGGAGGTGGTCAAGGATAGCATCCACGGTCTTCTGGAAACCCATATCCATGATACGATCGGCTTCGTCCAGCACCAACATCTGCAGATTATTTGTTTCAAACATAGCCGTCTGATCCAAATGTTGCAACATTCGCCCGGGTGTGCAAACCAGGATGTTCATACGTCCCAGGCGATCTTGTTCCTCGCGCAGACTCTTTCCACCAATAATCAACCCAGCAGAGAAATTGTGGTATCTTCCGATCTTGCGGAGAACCTCAAAGATTTGAATCGCTAGTTCACGTGTAGGCGAAAGAACGAGTGCACCAAGACCATCCAACTCGGTCCACTTCTTGCGATAAAGATTCTCGAGAATGGGTACTAGAAAGGCGAGGGTCTTTCCGCTACCGGTTTTGGCGGCACCGAGGATATCGCGCCCTTTGAATGCATGGTTGATAGCACGCGATTGAATGTCGGTAAGGGTTTTGAAATGAGAGGCTGCGAGGCCTTTGGTTGTTGGTTCGGAGAGTGGGAGATCGGAGAAGTTTTTGACGGGAGCTTTGAGATCGAGGTCCTCGACCTGCTTGACGAGGGTAGCTAAGCTATCCTCACCACGCTTTCTTTTCAAGACCCTCCCTGTGTCCTGGTGAGTCTTTGACTTCCCTTTAACTGCTCGTGGCGCCATGATGTGGTTTGAGTTGAATCTTGAAAGTTAGCGGGCGGTGAAAACATCTTTTTTTTCTTCTTGGGAACGAAAAACGAAGGCGGTAGGAAAAGCGGTGAGGAACTAACCAGGTACATAAGATCTCTCGTTGTAGATCTTTTGATGTCCTCAGCTTGTTCGTAGTTTGTAATGTGGAATATCTGATATAATTATGAGCTCACTAGATGTTTGCTTTATAAGTCATCATCACCAGGAAAAAGCATAAGTAGCCGACTGTTATTTGTTCCTACCAGCGACCTAAACCTTCTCCGAGGTCGTGCGCTACGCTGACTCAGCGACTGATAAGCCCACAGTCTTATCTTATTTGAGGTCCTGATCTCATGAGCGCCAGGAACATTTCTTCCTCAAAAGGATCTGCAGCAGGCAATATGTCGGACGACGACCAGGACTTCCTCGACTCTCTGGAGAAAGAGGCCTCCGAGTTTAGCAAGGTGTGTTCCCTCTACACGACATACATCTATACTCCCGACTGACACGCGACACAGGATGTTGAGATCGACCGCATTCGCAAGGCATTCAGCCTCGATTCGTAAGTCCAATCTCCCCCCAGCTATCCAATCAACTACTGCCCCTCTATATCTTCTGCAGATACTAACCCCTTACAGCTATGCCGTCCTGGACCTCCAACCCGGTGTTACAGAAAAAGACATCAAAGTCCAATACCGCAAGATCTCACTGCTGATCCACCCCGACAAGACCAAGAACCCCGCCGCTCCAGATGCATTCGATCGACTCAAAAAGGCACAGACAGCTCTTCTAGACGAGAAGCAACGCGAATACCTGGACGAATGTATCTCCGACGCGCGCCGCTTGTTGATCCGCGAACACAAGTACACACTCGACTCCCCCGAGCTGAAGACCGAAGAGTTCAAGGTCGAGTGGCGGAAGAAGACGGTCCAAGTGCTACTGGAAGAAGAAGCGCGACGCCGCCGACAGCTCAAGGCGCGCTTGCAAGAGGAAGGTCGTGAGCAACGCAAGGAAGAGGAGGAGCTTGAGGCGCGCAAGCGGAAGCGCGACAATGACAAGAAGTGGGAGGATACGCGCGAAGAGCGCATTGGTAGCTGGCGGGATTTCCAGAAGGGGCGCAAACCTGGTGGTGATGAGAAGAAGAAAAAGAAGAAGATGAAGGTATTGGGCTGATTTGACGTTCCTTTTTTTTCTTTCTTCTGAGCGTTACTGGCGTCTGGGGATCTACTTTTATGAATTGTCACGGCCACGGCCGCAATTAAACATTTTTAAGGTGCATTCAGTAAATTGTATCAAGAATGATAGATGCGCATGTGTATCCACGATATCCAAATCCACGAGAATCTACCGAGTTCCACCGAGGAACTGCGAGGTGACGCGGGGGTTCCGGGATGTTTCCAATTCTGTTATATCTGACGAGTGTCAACTATTTAGGTACATAAATATATCTACATATGCATATGCATACTTGACATGCGTTGTATCCCCGCAGTGGATTAAGTTGTGTCTCCCCGAGAAACCCACCACCCCGCTCCGAACCTCGCTCTGTCAACCTCACCCCAACACAAGCATGACTGAACCAACTGCAAAGAACGCGCCTTTCCGGCCGCAAGATCACCTCAAGCCATTCCCCCCGCTGTCACCAACAACATCCGAGCCATTGAACCCATCAACCTCTCCCAATCAAGAAGCCGAGCCGAACCAGAATGGACCAGCCCACGCCAACAAACAACCCCCAAGTGACTCAACCAGCGACTCAACCATCCCCCCTCTCCCAACCGTGATCGCACGTATCCACGCCCGCGTGCAAGCCTTCCTAGACGAACCCCACGCCCCGGACACGCTGCTAGCCTCCGTGCAGCGACAAACGCGCATCTCGCTAGAAGTAGTCAGCACGGCGCTGCAGCGCTACAAGCTCTCGGAACTCTCAGTCTCTTATAACGGTGGCAAGGACTGTCTAGTCCTGCTAATTCTGTTTCTGGCCGGGTTGCATCCAAACCGCGCCCGCAATGACTCACACCCCGCCACCGCAAACGCAAATGATACAAACCCCTCCCCGGTAGACCTCGAAGCCGAGGCCCAAATAGCCGCTGCGACGGTCATCCCGGCGATCTATGCGCTCCCGCCTGATCCATTCGATGCAGTCGAAGACTTCGTCATCTCTTCTGCTGAAGCTTATCATCTCGCTATTACAAAGTACACGACTGCGCCGCCGGATTCGACGCTCCGCTCTAGCTTTGAGGACTATCTGGCGCGCCACCCTGGGATCCGGGCGATATTTGTTGGCACGCGGCGGACGGATCCGCACGGTGCGCAGCTGACGCATTTTGATCGGACGGATGGGGGGTGGCCTGATTTTGTGCGCGTGCATCCCGTGATTGATTGGCATTATGCGGAGATTTGGGCGTTCATCCGGCATCTGGATTTGAAGTATTGTTCGCTCTATGATGAGGGATATACCAGTCTTGGCGGCACGTCTGATACCCATCCTAATCCGAGATTACGGACTGGAGCTCAGGCTGATGGACAGTATCTTCCTGCTTATCAGCTCACTGAGGATCTGGAGGAGAGACTTGGGCGCAATTGATTTGAATAGTGTGGATTTCCTCACTTGTGTATAGATTGAGATTTATATCTCATTTGTCTTTTCGGATAGATTGCTTTGCACGTTACAGTTGTGCTCACGCACTGGATCTTGAACATGGAAACTTATGTGGAGTAGTTTTTGGTCTTGAATAATATCATATTAGACTGCGCAACCAGTCAAGGTGCGATAGCGTTCTTTGAACGAAGTCTTGAAACATGCATCTTGTCTGTCACATATGCTGAAAAAAATGCAAAATCCATGTAACTGCGAAAGAAAAAAAAAAACAAACGAAAAAGCATTTCTCATCCTCCCATCAAACTCCATAAAAATGAAAACCGAACTCCATAATGATATCGTGTAGAGTTGTCTAAAAATGCCGCGAAAGGTCGGAAACAGAATAGCAACCGAATATCATACCGTGAATCATAAAATCGTGAATCGTGAAACAATCATAAAAAAGGCAAGGCTGAGCCATACATCTTCAATACATTCTGCGAATGGTAACAGATGCTGCGAATTTGGATATTGGAGAGCACCCTGGAAAGGTTGTGATCATCTTACCCGTGTGGTAAGATGTTGTAAAGCATCCCATGCAAATAAAGATATGCGTGGGAGCATTTTGCACGACAGGTTTAAGTGCACGAGCGAGCCGGGGAGAGAATGATCATGGGAGAAGAAGAAGCGGGGGATACAGATCCAGCTCTGATGTTCTCTTTACGAGGCCCCATAGTCGGCGAGTCCGGCATGACAGTTTTTGAAGAACCACCAGAGAGATCAGTGTAAGAGCGACGGCTCAGAGACAGGGCCCGACTGCGATAGGCGGGCGTGTGGTCAAGAGCATTGAGACTCCGAGACGACAAGGAACTGCTCCGTGCACTGCTGGATGGATTCTTCATGTGTGGGTGGCTGTGAGCTTAATTAGAATGGATTGTATTATGACGCAATGTAAGTATTCGGGACATACCAAGGAGAGATTGAGGTTGCCGGGGTCCAGTTAGAGCCCACTCCAGCTGGAGACGTGTAACTGACTTGGGAGTTTGGGGTAAGATGAGAGCCACGTTTCATCCCAGGTGATGGAGTAGATCCCTGAACCACTTCAACCGAGTAGTTGTACTCTCCAGCTCGGTAAGCACGACGTTCGTTACTCTGTTGTTTCAGAACTTTTTGGGCCTTGGTATCAGCAAAGCGCAAAAGCAGCTTTACGCCATCGTCTTTGGTGACGTTGTGGAATTCCATCAGGACCTTTTCGGCAACATCACGGTTTTCGAAGCTATACATCAAGTTTCAGTCTTCAGTCAGAATAAGTCATGAGAGCCAAGCAATCGGGGTTTTGTTACCGTGCAAAGCCCACTTCCTTGCTCACACCTGTCTTCTCGTCGCGACTGATTTTCTCCGAAACAACACGCCATGGCTCGAAATGACGACGCAGATCCTGACAAATTGATTAGATATCAACACGACAGGTGAAGGGTAGAGTCTGGATAACTAACAGCTTCTGTCCAGTCGATTGGAATATTAGTACAGTATATATTGGTAGAAGACTTGTCCTCCAGATCCTTGAGGCGAGAGTTGCGAGATTTCTGGGCGAAGCTAGCTTGGTAGCCGAGGTAAAAGAAACCACGAATGCAGTTCTCACAGGATTCAAAGCTGTAATACTGGACAAAACCGAATCTGCAAAAGATTAGAACAAACTACCCGAAAGAAGGTTCGTGCAGGAGATACCCTTTGCAAAGACTAGTGTCCAGGTCCACGATTGCTTTGCAACGCTCAATCTTTCCGAAACGGGCTGCATATGCATGCAACATGTCATCAGTGGTCTCGGGCAGGAAACCTCGAATGTAAACATTGGTTATACCCTCGCGGTTCTCCAGACACTTGGCGAGTGTCAGCTCAGAAGGGTTGGTCCACATGGCAGGCACCGCGCGTGGAATGGCAGGCTCTTGTTGAGTCAGAGCGTCCAGGTCCTGGACAACGTATCCGTTCGGGGTCTTCATCATTTGGAGGGGAAGCGAGAGTGCCCCAAGCTGGGAAGGAACCATACCTCCATAAGAGTAACCAGACATGGAGCCGCCGTCCATCCCAGAAACAAGGGCTGGGGGATAGTAATGAATCTGACCAGTGTTCTCCCCCTGACCTCCCTTCTGGCCTTCGGTTATGTTCCATGAACCTTGCTTGTTGGTTGCCCCATCATTCATGTCGTAATTCATCATGTAGGGCCACGACGAATATCCACCAGCCACCACAGGACTGACGTTCGGATAAACTCCCGTTGGAAGATATGAGAACTGACCTATCTGATCAGTCTGACCAGAGACACCGTTGGGGACAAAGGAAGAGACGGTTGGAACGCCATTAAAAACCGTGGAGTTAGGAACCAGGATGAATGGGCTGTTGTACGCACGGTTGGTATTCGACCAATCCATGTTTGTGTTCACTTGAACGGGCGGGGTGCTCTTTGGCCCGTTGAACTTGGGGCGAGAGTTCTGTAGATTCAATCCTCTGAAAAGATTGGTCAGGCCTGCAACACTGCTTTCACGGGAACTCGGATTTGTGGATTGCTGGTACCTGGGGCCATAGGGAGTACGAGGCTCGCTTTGGAGGTAGTGTCCAGACTGGGAGCTGGATGTCTGACCAGAGCCAGAACCAGAGGAACTCGTATGCTGGGAGCCCTGGGCGTGCATGATGAAGGGCGTACACTGGCAGAGATCGATTTTGTCAGCTGATTTTTCAAGATTTGCAGATAGGCAGAGGACATTGGCTTTATGGACAGTCCCTTTGGGCCCCATTTGGCAAAATGTCCCAATGGTATGGGTCAATAGCACGAAACTCACCTGAGTTCCTGCACCAAATTATATAGACACTTCTGGCAAGAAGTTGTGGCTGCTGTCCAAGGTACTAGCGTAAGCCAAAACGAAGTCTGGGAATAGATTCGAACATGACCAAAATTGGGTGGAAGGCTTACCTGTTGTCGAGTATGCAACTGGCTGCCTGTTCTCTCAGGCTGCAAGGCGTCTGATGATAACTCGAAGTGAAGACGAGGTAGGTGTGGATGAGGTATACGGCAATGAAAGTCAGGACGGTCTTGGAATCGGAAACGGGATAAATGGGCCAGGACGAAACCAATGGCAAAAGAAATGGGGATAGGGGGATAGGCTGGGGATGAATGGGGATGGGAGGATTGAAGAATGAAATGGAGGGAAACCTGTTTAAGAAGAAAGAAGGGCAGACCTCTCGGATAAGGAAAGAGCGTAAAAATAAGAGAAGGAGCTATGGGGGTAGGATTCGGGTGTTTGGGGGGGGNGGGGGGGGGGGGGGGGGGGGGGGGGGGGAAAGGAAGAGGGAGGTCACATGGGGGAGAGACAACTATATACGTGTACTTAGAAACTGTAGAATATCAACCTCTGATATTGGAAATCTTGCATATCTTCTGAAGACATAGAAAAACAAAATGGAAATCCTAGACTTGATCCCATCAAGAAGGAGAACGCTAAATTGCAATTTTATATCCTCAAATCCACATCTATGAGAAAGAGCAGCAAGTGATGAATTGGGGGAGATATCCGAAGGAAGGAAGTTACTTAGGGAACTTCACTCAAAATGGAAAGGACTTATTGAGACTTCTCCTGTAACCACTTGTAAACCACTGAGAAATCCTTGCCACGGTGCTCCTCCTCAACAGCCTTATACACCTCACGAGCGTGAGCGCCCAGGGCAAGAGGAGTATTAGACTGCTCCGCAGCCGCAAGAGCCAAGCGAAGATCCTTGTGCATGAGACTCACCCCGAATCCGCCCTCATATCCACGCGACGCGGGGGCTGTCTCGACGACACCAGGAACGGGATTGTTAACCTCAGAGGGCCAGCAACGACCAGTGGACGAATTGATCATTTCCGCCAAGGCCTTGGGCTCGAGTCCCCAGCGAACACCGAGATTCATAGCCTCGGCAGTGGCGATATTGTTCAGAGCCAAAATGTAGTTATTGGCGAGCTTGCCGGAAACGCCAGCACCGGGCCCACCAAGATGCCAGGCCTTCTTACCCATCAAAGCGAGCACACCGCGGATACGCTCAAGTAGTTCGTCTGACTGTGGAGAGGCACCGAACATGAATGACAACGTTCCTGCACGAGCACCGACAACACCTCCTGATACGGGGGCGTCCACAAAGCGGCCAGTTTGCGTGGTGTGGATGGCGTTTGCAATATCCTTGGATGTGACGGGGTCAATGGTAGATGCGTCAATGAAGAGACGCTCCTGCTCGAGTGGTGGCAGCGGTCCATGTTTAAGGATAGAGTGAAATACGTCAATTACATGCTGAGACTCCGGGAGACTGGTAACCATCACTATCTAAACGGCAGACATAAGTAAGCATAGGTATCAGACCGTAAAACGACCCAAACATATGGAGCACAGTCCATGCAGGAAAGCCAATAGCTCGGCTGCAGGCTAGACCCACATGGTAGATAACTACTTACCGATTTCTCGGCGACCTCACGCGCATTCTGAGCGATCTCGACTTGGCCTTCATTGGCGCCTGCGCCATTGCTTTGTGCGGTCTCCCGGGCCTCTGCAGCAAATCGTTTCATAACATCTTCGTTGACATCGCGCACGATCAAGGTGTCGGATGCAGGGATCTTGGCGCGCAGGTTTTTGGCCATGTGGTAGCCTAGGGTAGTCAGCTAATGCGAATGCAATACAAATAACCGCAAGGTTCATCGTATAGCCGAGGTTGTATATCCGAGGTGCTCGTTGCGTGATCTCACAACATACCCATTTGCCCCAGTCCGACAAAGCCCCACGTCGCATCACGGTGCATAGTTGTGGAGAAAGCTCGGGCCTTGCTGGACGGCCAGCCTCGGAGATCCACTGCGGATGCATGGAAACAAGTCGCTCTCCGCGGGAGGGACATGGCTGTTCGGAGACTCATTTTTGATGAATGTGAAGTGCTGCCTGATTCTATCTGATCTCGAAGAGAAATGGTAAGTGATGAGTGTTAATACGCGC